GCATTGTACTCGCAAAATCTAATGCCTAACATCAGCTTTTTAATGCTTCATTATGTCCATTTGGAATGTATTTAATTTTTAAACTAACTTGTATTAATAGATCAAATTTTAGAAGAGACGACCGTAGCCTCGGAGCTAACTGAAGAAGGTAGGCCGATATACACATGGAATCTGTTATTTATTTTGTGTTTTGTCATCTTTATAAAATAGGACGTGTGCAAAATATTTCTGTTGGTTAAAACCAGTATTCTTATATTTTTTATTGTAAACATTCTCGCTAAATATAAGTTGGCATTATCAGTATAGTTGATTTTGGGTTGGTTGTTTCCTACAGTACCGTACTTCTTTTAGTCGATTATTTTTGCGACTGGCACCAACAACGTTAGAAGCAGAATATGCCTCTCTTTCTCGATTGGTGTTTAAAGATACTCGCGAAAAGGCCGCCTTCGGCCTTCGCGAGACTGTGAGGTACTGGGGTTGGTCCAGATATTTGCAGGAGAAAGTGCAGAAAGAAGGGAACTCTTTTATAAATAACATAAGTTTAAATGAATTGGAGAACCGTCTTCTCTTTTATCACCCTCCTATCTTTGGAGAGACTTAAAGCCAACAATAATATTAGCCTTAAAATTGTTCTCATAAATGATCACCACCCCTAAAGAAAAGAAAGCTGCTTACTATTTACTTACCATCTGCACATTTTTTTCCAGCTAAAATTTAAAAGCACTCTAACATGTTAAGGGTGGTATGGGGGGGGGGGGTGACGACATCTCCCCCTATGAATCTGCCCATGTGTACCATTTAAATAATCATTCTATGAATCCCAGTCGACTTAATGCTGCAAGTATTGCCATATGATCTCCCCCTATGAATCTGCCCATGTGTACCATTTAAATAATCATTCTATGAATCCCAGTCGACTTAATGCTGCAAGTATTGCCATATGTTACAGAATATTCTAACGCATAATATTGAGTGGCGTAAAGGCCTGTTTATACTTCAACGATAACGATAAAAATAAGCTAAAAAGCAATTGTTTATATAGAAAATAAAAGAAATAAGAACGATTCGATAACGATTTATTATTTATGCGATAACAACATATTTTGACAAATCAAATCAGATGACGTCATAACCATGGAAAACATTAAAATCGTAGTATTAGCAACGATTTTATCGTCTTTCCATAGTTATGACGTCATCTGATTTGATCTGTTAAAATATTTTTTTAAATATCCAAATAACGTTATTTTAATTGCCAATCCCTAATTTTGTGGTCTAAAAGTACAATTTGGACCATACTGAGCTCTAAAAATTCTGCTCGTGAACCCTACCAGGGATTTTTTAAAATCTGGGACCAGGACTAAGGCTAGAGTTGGCCCATTGGCTCGGATCCCCCGCCGGACATGTCGTACATCTTGCCGGCAAATTTCTGGAGCCATAATTGCTTGGTCCATTTTGGGTTTAATTCGCTAATTCCATCGTGAGACTTTAGATGTGCTCATTTTCAATCATGTTTGTCATTGTTTTTAACGACGAATAATGATTAATATTAGTGGCGGATGGCATTTGAAAAAGAGTGGGATCAGGGTGGAATTTTCAGAGATAGGGTCTATACCACATTAGCCCCATCATGGTTAGGGCTGAGGTTAGAAAATTTTGGCACGTCTGGATGGCGGGAAATTGCACTCCCAAGCTTAAAATTTTGAATATAATTTTCTTGTATCTCCACTTATTGTTTTAATTGAAAAATTCAGTGGGACCCAGGCTGGCATGACGCCCTTTAATGTATGCCCCACAGTCGATGTCAGAGACACATTATGCAGCCGTTACGTATCAACACAACTCTGTTTGGTCAGGGTGACCAAGGACCATTATGGGGGAGGGGTGCGTTCCTCGGGCAGAGGGCATAGGCGGTACGCTTGAGTACTTTTTTTAACTATTGGAAAGACCTTTGCAAATGAAAGTCAAATTACCGTTTAAATAAAGAAGAACACGAGCCAATAATACATTTGTTTATAATTGTTAAAGCAGATAAGATAGGCATACTGGTAGAATAATATAGTAAAAATGGATTATACAATACATGCTAAAATGTAATGGATGTAGACCTTCCTTATTTGTCACGTATTGACTTATTTTAGTGAATAACATGGTCAGTTTATAATATTTTTATTCCATTATTTAATAAATAAACACATAGGCCTACGCGTTTGTACCAGCCGCAATAACAAAAGGTGGTACGTTCCACTTACCACGATACTCTGCTGCTCCTTTCACTTGCTGTACTAACGTAATTCGATGAATTCTCACATGTGTCGCTTTTTTAGCGTGAGAAGTCTTCGTCCGATATTTTGTAGACTCGTGTTATTGTAAAATTATTTTTTTACAATATTTTAATAAGCATAAATAGGAACTCAAATATGCCAATAATGGTAAGACATATAAAAGAATGGTGCTACGTTATATTTCTTATAGAACTGTGCACGTATCTGGACGGTAAATCGTCACAAACATTTTGTCCTTACTCAAAATCGTATATGATTTTGTTGTATGAGGCAGTTTTAACTGTATTAAAATACGCGCCCTCGTCACGGTTCATGTTTTCCTTATTTGTTTCGTATACATATAGGTTGTTTTGTTTCTTTCGATATCTTGTTACTTCTTTCAAAATCGTGTTACTTCTTTCAAAATCTTGGTGGTTTCTAATAGCCGATTTGTTTAATGTTGTTGATGTATGCTTTATAGAAAAATAGGCCTATGTACTGGTACTGGTACTTGTAGCCGTCTAATTGTATGTGCGCACTGTGTTTATAGAGCTCTCCACGTTTTTTTTTTTTTTTTGTTTTTGTGTGTGTGTTTTTTTTTTTTTTTTTTTTTTTTTTTTTTTTTTTTTTTTGTGTTTTTTTTTTGTGTTCATGCAATCTTATTTTGAATGATCTGCCTGTTCTTCTTATCTATACTGCTTGGAAATTTTGAAACCCAGCTGTGTAAATCGCCCCACACGCCTTCATCTTGTATTTTGTCTTTGGGGGACCATAGACATATTATAGTGATATACTATAATATTTCTATTGGCGGATCGAATTTAGTATTTAATTTTTTTGATTTGTATTAAGTTTCAGAATTTCATTCATACACTGCAAGATTGGTGACTACAACAGCAAGTAAACAGAATTGCTTGACTGCTGAAACACTGGCTGTTTTATTGTTGGGTAGACGACTGACAAGTAGTCGAACACGCTGCTTTCAGTTCTGTATATCTATTGCTGGTTGCAAGGCGTTCCTGATTCTGCAAATGACAGACGGCACTATGTGTCATGCGCTTACTAGATATCCACATGATGATGCCCAGTATGAACTTGAACCGTTGAATTGCGGTTTGTTCGAATGGGTTTAAACAACACAAGAAAGAAAGTAACATGTTTAATAAAAAAAATCATCTGGATCTTGGAATTTAGCTGACGACACAAACAGATCCAGATTTGCCGTGACCCATTGCCGGGAACGTGATGTTTTTTTAAATGTAGGCCTACGTGACTTCTGCATGAAACTCCGCTCGGATCGTCTCATCTCGGACTAATTCGACTCGATACGATACCATGTAATAATTAATATTATAGGAACCAAGAGCAGGCACGTTTCAACATTAAGTGACGATTGACTATTCTTTCTATGTTTACCTAGGCCCATGACTTTAATAATTGTAAATTATAAGTCGTTGGCCTACACCTATGAAATT